GTCTTCATGATAAATGTAATCATTATGTACTGCAAACATGTACTAATTTTTTAAAATTAAAATAAAAAAATTGGGGGCTGGGGATTTAGCTCAGCGGCATAAGCACTTGCCTTGCAAGCAGGCGGTCGTGAGTTCGATCCCCAGTACCGATAAAAAGGAAAAAGACAAAAAATTAATTAATTAATTAATTAAACAGCAGTCCAGTGTGGTGGCACATGCCTATAATCCCAGCTCTTGGGAGGCTAAGGTAGGAGGATCATTGTCAGTCTGAAGCCAGCCTGGGCTACACAGTGAGTTCAAGCCAGCCTGAACTACACAGCAAAACTGTCTCAAAAAACAAAGACCAAAACCAACAACAACAAAAGAAAAATCAGTCCCTACACCAAAAATAAGCTACAGACAACACAGCACCACAAAATGCCTCAAAATTTTGTTTAATGCCCCCAGTTTTTAAGTGTTACCTGGAAGAAATGTGATTATGTTAAATTTACAAAATTTTTTATGAGTACCTTTTAATTTTTTTTAATTGCACATAATCTGCCCAATTCTCTAACTAGAATATCAGAGTCCCAGGACATTCGTTATTACAAGTCCATTTAAGTTTTTGTTTTGTGCTGTGTTTTGCTTATAGAGAAGGGCCTCACTATGCAGTCTATGCAGTCTAGGCTGCTCTTAAGGTTGAGATCCTCCGGCATCAGCTTCTCCATGGCTGGGATTACATGCACACACCAGCACATGTGGCTTCAAGTTAATCAAAGTTTGACCAGCTGGTTGCAACATAAACCAAGAAAGCTGTAGTGGTGGATTTCATTCTATGGGGCAATTGTATCCATCATAATTGATAAAAACCGGCAAAGACAAACTACTTTTCTAACTTCAATCAGCTAGCTAAAGACTGGGTACAATGAATCAATACTACTAGAAAACTACTCCAGTTACATGCTCCACAGTAGGACAGAGCTGTCACAAAGTATCATGACTGTGAGACTGTATGAGAATAAAAGAGAGACTCATTTACTGAATTACAATGTATCAATGAAATCATGGTGGATAAAGGTATAATGGGTATACCATAAGGATAAAAAGTATAAAGGTTTACTAAAGGATAAAAAATTACAGCAGTCTCATGCATTCACAAAGTTAATAAATACAAGAGTTTAAGGGCAAAAACATAAAGGTCCCAGGAGAAAAACTGTAATTTTTCAATTTAGGCACTATGAATGTTCTCAAAATCAACTGACCTCTGCCCTTCTATAGCAGTCAAAATCCCAAGGACTTCTCTCTGGACTCTAGGGCATTGTTAATGTCAAGCTCTCGGCAAAGCAGAGGAAAAGGAAAAAAGGAGTATTGCTTAGAATATACAGACGTTTCATATCTCACCAGCCGGAGGGACCATCAATCACAGCTGTATGCTACTTGAGCCCTCAAAGAGACGTTTCTAGTTCTTCAAATAATTAAATTTGTTTTGTGTGGGGCAAAACTAATCTACAACAAATTCTATGTCAAAGCAAACCATTTTATTCTTCTTTTTGAAACGATGTTCATGGTCTTCTAAGGCAGAGGTACCGGTGAAATGCACGTCTTACACAGAAAATTCAAAGTCTCAGGTATAAGATGCAACTTAAAATTTAGAGGCTCCCATGAGAGACACTGGCTGAATTAATGGTCTCAGCGAGATGGAAAGAAATGTAGACATTTAGCAGGTAGACGAGCATTCATTAGATGAAGGGGAGACAGCAATAATTTTGCAAAGCTGTGTTCGCTTAATTAAATTACAGTTTAAAAAACTCAGTAGGAAAGATTAATCTTTAAAGAGAGCCTATCCTGTATGTTCTGTATGTTTCAAAACTATTCTGTACTGGAAATATGCATTCTCCATATTTAAAAAATTACTGCAAATTTTCACAGTAGATGAATCATATTTTCTTAAAAGAAGTGACTCAGGGATGTGATCTGTCCCTTGGTATGCAGTATTTGTTACATACGTGTGTCCTGACACTTTCCACTAGAATCCAGGCTCCCTGCAGTACCAGCTCCATAAAACAGTGTCTGCTACCCACCAGGTGTGCATTTAATTGAGTATGTAAATGCTTATGCAAGCAAATTTGCACTTATATATATCTTATGTAGCTGTCTTTCACTTAACTGTCTCTATTCCTTGTTTTTGGCTGGATCTAGAACTAGTGAATATCCTGGAGAAAAACAAGTGGTACAGGGCCAGGGATTTAGCTCAGTTGAGCATAAGTGCCTGCCTGCCAAGTACAAGGTTACAAATTTGATCCCTGGTACAGGAAAACACACACACACACACACAAGTGGATAGAAATGTAATTTTACATATATACAAGCATACATATATAATATGCTAATATATATATTTTAAAGATTCACTTTTGGTATTAGCTTTTGCAGTGTTGGAGATTGAACCTAGGATCTCTCAGATGCTAGGCAAGAAGTCTAGCAAACAGCTACACTTCCCAGTTATTTAGTTTTTAGTTTATGGTCTTATCTAGTAAGTAGGTACTGGTATTGGGGTGCACCACCGCACCTGGCTTTTCTTGTGTTTTTTTTTTTAATTTCATTTTATTAGTTAATGTGTGTTGTACATAACATTTACATTCCTTGTGGGAAGCTGGTATATGTACATAGCACACTTAATTCCTTTTTCTCTTCTCCTTCCCTCTATCTCTTTATCCCTCCCCCCTTTGAGAAAGATTTATCTCCCTACCTCATATTATTTTTTCTTTTGCTCTGTTTTTACTTTGGGTTTGTCACACAGAGAAACCATGTGATAATTTAAGCTTGGGTATCTGATTTATCTCACTTAACTTTATGGTCAAAAGGTACATTCATTTACCTACAAATAACTCAAGTTTATCTTTATGGCAAGTGGTCTCCACCTCGCTAGGCTTCTCTCCTACTCAAAGCCTCTTATCATCTTCCAATGACACTCCTATTCCTCCATCTCACATTCCCCATCTGCGAAGAGCCCCATCTCCTGAAAATAAAAAAGAAACCCATCTTTGCAAGCCCCAATCCTATGGCTCATCCTATCCTCCTCCTGTTTCAAGCCCACAGCAAGTCCAGTTTCCAAGTCCTATCAAATCTAGTTTCCTACTAGTTCAAGCATCTGTCCTCTTCACGTCCTGCGGCCTTCATCCAGCTCCTCCTCCTCCTCTTTCTCCCACTCCTCTTCCTCCTCCTCCTCCTGATTATTACACCAGCTCCTCATTTCTCTGGCCTCAGCCTTACACCACTTTCACCATCCTTCATTGGACTTCAGAGGGGCAGATCCAGCTCCTGGTAATGTGATGTCTTACACACTCTGACCTCTAGCCCAGTGAACTACCCGCAGGCTCATTCCTAACACCCTGTGCCAGGGCTAAGCACTCCTAACGTTATGCCCGTTCCCAAGGCCTGCCTCCTTTTAAACAACCCTCCCCCCAGACCCTTGACCATCAGTCAACTGGATGCTCCCACACACCTGTATCAAAAGCCATGTTTCTCCCACCTAACTGTAAGTTACTGGATGACTGAGACTGTTCTTCCTTGATTGGTTTGGTGCTTAACACTTAAAAGGTGCTTATCGATGTCTCTGATGTCTGCGGCATAGCCAGCTGTCTGGGTCACACTTTTCTGACCAGACATGGGGAGGCTGAGGCAGAAAGACCGCTTGAGCCCAGGAGTTCAAGTCCTCAAGTGGAATAAGTGCTCCCTGCTTCTGCTATGTTTAGAACCCTGGGTTTAAGGTCGCCCTGATTGCTCTGTTCTCCCTACATCGCCTGACTTCAGACATAAAAATTCTCCCCAGGATAAAAAAACTTCTGCTAAACCTTAGTTTTAGGCTGCTTTCTACTTGTTTCCTCACCAACAACTGAAAACCACACTTTTGACCTTTTCTTTTTGCTTACAAGAGATATTAATGCAGAAAAACAAGAAAAGCCAGGTGCGTGTCTTACTGTACAAGGTGTATCTTCACCTGTCAGCTCGGCATGTTACGGGGATCTTCCCGGCTGTACTATTCAGCCCGGAAGTCAGTGGTTAAAGGGACGGTGGTCATTCAGCCGAATGTTCCTTGTTTCCCTGATTCCAAGACTTGCCATGATAGGACTTTTCCATGAAAGAAATCACCGAGCAAACTCTTGATATTCAGATCCTGCGAAGCAACTAAAGTTTTGCAAAACAAAAGGGATGAAAAAAATCGTTTCTTAGCAGTTGGTCCTCTCTGTCACCATTACTTAACCAAAGACTGCGACAGCAATAAGAACTCTGAACAACACGGAAAGGTCCTGCGGCCAGACCCCACGTCCGATGTCCCTAAAACAATTCCTCCCAGTCCGGTAAATCCAGCCAGAGGTCTTCTCTACACTTGAGTCACGGTATCTGGTTTCAGTGGTTTAAAATGATCTGTATCTTGTCTAATTAGACATGGAATCCTGGATTTGACCAAATTCTTTTCAGCGAGGTCATCTCACGGGTATCCCCGGCTTTTTGCATTCTATCCAGAAGTACTGAAAATTTCTTCTGGGTGCCCTACCGACCCCAAGATAAGACAAGTGAGAGATTCCAGAGCTCCAAACAACGGATCGGGGCACATTCCTAGCAGACTTCACAAGGCAGAACAAAACCCTGGCTTGAAACAAGGAAATAAACCAACAAAGGCCCGGCAATTGGAAAACCTGCAACCTTCCGCCACCTCCCGAAGGTGGGGGACGCCGGATCCTGGTTCCCGGCGGCTCCTCGGAGGGCCTGGGCCACCGAAGGGACCCCACGACCGGAGCAGGCGGGGGACCCCGGGGAGCCCGGGAGGCGCGAGCTGGGGGGGCCGCTCCTCCCCGCATCGGGGGTCCCGCGAGGAGGAGGCGGCTGCGCCCACCCCGGAGCTCGGACCCAGCGCAGGCCGCGCTCCTGCCGCCTCCCCGGCGCCCACCCGCGACCCCCGCGATCCCGCGATCCCCGCGACCCGGCGATCCCGAGACCCCCGGCCGGGTTTCACTCACAGAGCCCAAGTGCCGTCGCCAGCACTGACCACAGCCAAGGCCTGCGGTCGGAGGCTGTAACCATCGCCCCGGCTCCGGCGGGCGCGGCCATGGTCCCCGATCTGCCAGGTCCCTCTGCGGTGCGGCCCTGCACGCCGCCGAGCTGCCCGCTGCACCGCCGCCTGCGGAGGCATAGCCCCGCCCCCAGAGCCCGATCATTGGTTCCATGGCGCCCTCTGCAGGATACGATTGGGCGATCTGGCTGTCCGTCAGCCCCTCCCGAGGGGCGGCCCGCGGTGAAGGCCTGCGGCAGCAGCCGAGTCCTTGCTTGCCTGCGTGGCCAGGGACGCGGGGCTCCGCGGCTTCTCCGCCCCCGCACAGCGCGTCCTTCGCATAGGTCTCCGCGCTCCCTGCCTCAAGCCAAAGAAAAGAAGCCATTCACTTTGCTAAAAAAGAGCAGTCAAGAGTGGGTGGGAAGACTTCTGATTCAGTGGTCCAGCTCCAACATGCCTTTCCTTCCCTGTCCTCGAGGTCTGTCCTTTATCTGGGCTCTGTCATCTGTGTTGCAACTTGAAAACTCTGGCAGTTTCTTAGATTTTTTTATTGGTAGTATAGTACATATTTGCAACACGTAGTAATTACATTCACGTTGGGGGATTGGTACATGGACCTTGCCTTTGATGATTGTGACTTTGAGAAATCCGTCAGTTGCTTTTTTAAAAAAAATATTAATAAATATATGTTTATAGTTGAGATGCATAACATTTACATTCATCTTGAGGAATTTTTTTAATTTTAATTTTTATGAGTACGTGATTACATTCACTGTGGGTAGTCGGTACCTGTGCAAAATATATCTTAATTCCGTTTCTCCCCTCAATTTAGGGAATTAGTATATGTACATAGCACATTTTGATCATTTTTACTCTCCCTTGAGAAATCTGCCTGTTCTTTTTGTTTCTTTTTTATTAATAGTACAGACTTGTGACGCATGATATTTGCATTCATATTGGGAGTATGGTACATAGACATGAAGCATTTGATCATTTTTACTTCCTTTTGAGAAATGTACCAGGGTAAAAAGAAGTCTCCATCTTGCCTTCCCTTCTAGTTGGAGTCCCTTCTCTATGTTGTTGTTTTGTTTTACTTTGATTCGGTTTTCTTAGAACGGTCTCATTACACTACGTAGTTCAGGCTGGTTTTGAATTCACTTTGTAGTCCAGAATGGCCTGAGCTTGCATTGATAGTCCTGTCTCGGCCTCCGGAGTGTGGGGATTGCAGGTGCCAGAGAGCTGGTTCTTTTTTGGCTTGAGACTTACAGGACAGGGGGAAGTGGAACCTTCTGCCGTGGTCCCTTTGTAGACCAATCTCTCTCTCCAAATATCAGTAAAAACCAGTGTGGAAGTTTCCTCTCCCAGATTCTGAACCGCCTTCGCGGACCCTGCCTCTACCTACTGTAGTGCAGTGTTTGGAAGACTGGGAGGCAAATAGCTACAAAATGGAAACATGGAAAGGTGGTGAGATGAAAAAAGGGAAGAATTAAGGGAGGAGATTAAGCTTTAGGTAGGACCCATGTGAAGGAAACCTAGACACAATGTCTCACTGTAGGGTTTTGTCTAAAGTTAGTCTTCTGAGCACCTTTTGCAACGTCTTGGTCCTTTAACCTTTTACTATGGCAAACTCACAGCAGCCTTACCATTAGGGAGAGAAAACTACAAGTGTGCAGAATCCTGTTGCCCTGTTTCTCTTTGCAGAGCCCTTCAGAAGTGGCTGGAATCCCACTGGTAGAAAGGATACAAACATGTGAACTAACCATAGATGTGAAGCACGCTGACTTTGCTCTCAAGAAGTACAGGCTCTATCTGCATAGACAGTTTTCTTGAAGTGCTTGAAGAAAAGAGCAAATCAAGGAGAAACCCAAGCTAACAGGGACAGTGGTTCTCAAAGACACATGCAATGTTAAAGCTTTTCTGCTGGTCGTGATGTCACTCAGTACATGCATCCCTCCCTCTTCTGAGAACCACTGGCCCAAGAGCCAAAGGGGAAGATTCACAGAAGGTGTCATATTTGAGATGGACTTTAAAAAAGCAAGCAACAAAACAAAAAAGAAAACCAGTCTTGATATATAGTCCAGGCTGGCCATGAACTCCCTACGTAGCCCAAGCTGTCCTCAAACTCATGGTGACCCTCCTGCCTCAGCCTTCCGACCCCTGGGATTCCAATGCATGCACCACCACTCCCAGCTCTCAATATAGACTTTTGAGGACTCAAGATAAAAAAAGTCTAAGGATAGACAGCAATGGTGATACATGGCTGTAATTCTAGCATTCAGAAGATGACAACTGGGAGAGGAGCCTGACCAACTTGTGATTTGTCAAGACCCTGTTTATCCAGTAGGGGAGTCCTTGTGCCGAGTGCTGGGGCTCCTGGCCCTCACTCCTGCAAAAAAAATGGAGATGTGGGGGCTCTTGTGGGAAATGGGGTGTCAAGACTGGTATAGTGTAAAGGGGAAGTTTATTTAAAGTGTGGCAAATGCAGAGGAAACAGTAGAAAAGCTGTGTAGTCCAGCAGAGTGAGCCGCAAGGTAGGGACCTTCTCCCTCCAAATATGAGCGGCATCCATACTGAGAGGGCTGACTGTTCTGTGGATTGGTGTGGGTCGGGCCAATCAGGGTCTTTGTTTCTGGGCCAGGGGCAAGGTCAGCACCCTACGTGAGCAGCACCTTCATAAAAGATGCAGTAGGGTGCATTTTTTTCAAGCACATGGTAGACAACAAGCATGTGATGATCTCACTGTCGTCAGTCACAGATAAGCATGTGATGATTTTACAATGTGAGGGTTTTGCCTGAGGGTTTTTTTTTTTTATGTCCCTCTAATCTGCCCCTATGACCCCATCTCCAAAAAGCAGCGTGTGGAGGGTGTAGTAGTGCCTGGAGGGATGTAGCTCAGCGTAAGGGCGCTGGATAGAAACTCTCAGCACTGCAAAGTAAAAACAAACAAAATGGGAAAAGCAAATTCAGAGAAACAGCGTGTGAAACAGTAGGTAAATCGTAAGTCGTTTGCAAATTCCCAGAAGGAGCAAAACAAAAAGGAGAGATGCTGGTTTTCCTTCCTGCGTAGGCCGTGGTCATTTGGGAAGCCCCTTGAGACAGCCTTATTCTGTTGGCAGTGGAGAGCAGATGGGAGGGAAGCGGTAAGCTGAGATCTGTGTTTTGAAAAGGGACAGGGTGGTATGGCAGTAGGGGGTGGAGAGGAAGCAAAATTTGAGAGACATTTCAGAAAAAAAAAAAAAAAGCAGGACAGCGGGGAGGGAAGTACAGTATAATCGGGAGAAAAAGTCTTCATTTCTAGGCCGTCCTTGTCTTTTAGATCAGCTGTCACACAAGAATCAGAATAATGTGACAGCAAGATGTTCCAGATGGTCGTCAAAGTCAAAGAGGAAAACCAGACCACCTGACATAGATTTCCCTGAAGCCAAATCCAGTTCATTAACTATCCTATGGGAAAAGCTGTCTGAATCCTGGACAGGTATCTCTGTTAGAAAATTTTAAGAATCTAAAAATTAGGATTTTAGTGTCCTAGAGGCAGAGACATTCAATTAGGGGAAACAGAGGGGTAATGAATCCACTTAGGATAGTGTCTGTTACTACAGAAAGGTGTTAGCTACCCTGGACAGAGGTCACAGGCATTTCCCTACCGTACTTCCTACTGTAATGGGCAGTTGGAATTCTGTGTTTTGTTACTGTCAGCTTCTTGCATCATTGTGATAGAAGGCATAGTATCCAGTTTGCAGAAAAAAGCCAAATTCCTTTTTAATCACTAAAGAGAAGTTGGGGGGGGGGAGCTAAATGGATAGTAACCATGGTAAATCCAGGGGGACACCTGTTTGTGGGGACAGAGCCCTAAAGTGATTACACTATTTTACCTAACAAGTTATATTTTGCAGCTTCCTCATTTTAGGGAGAAAAACAAAACAACTCCTTAGGTGTTTGGGCACATTTGTTTTCCCTGTAGATTTTGGTAATTACATTGTCCTGATATCTAGAACTCACTGACAGTTTGAAGGGGGCTCAAGTTAGAGCAGTTTCACATAAAACAAAGAAGGGCGGAGACTGACCATTAGAACTCTAAAGCTGTAATTTTCTGGTGTCAGAATGTAAGAAGAAAAGTGACAGTTGAGTGTCCAGCACAAGTTTTGTCAAATGTTTGTTGGTCAGACATACAGTGAATACATGAAGAAATAAAACGAGTTTTTTTTTTCCTAAGAGTCGCCTGTGTGATTATTTGCTGCAGTGACAATTCAAAATTACGGTGCATCAAAGTGCAAAAATCTGTCTTGATAGGAATTTGGGGCAAACGGCAGTCATTCAGAATTACTGAGCGCCAGCTTGCTATCCATTGTAAGCATCCATTAGAAAGATTTAAGGATTGAAAATACAGTCATGCCTTCTGTATCTAAAGCTATAGAGCCATGCTCTGGTTTCTCTTCAGATCTTATAAATCTTTCATCTTTTTTAAAGGTATAGGACCCATCCGGTGCCAATTACACGATTGTTAATTACACAGACTTCTGTGTTGGTGTTGGGTGTCTTGTTCTCTAAGAAATTGGAGCTTAGGGAACTGCGACCCAAGTATACACCACATACTATTGGATTTGACATGTTAAAGACCCCACACACACACACACACACAGACACACACTCATCTTGAGAAGTTCCAGCCCTCTGGGATGTACCCAGAATCAAATAGATTCCAGCTGAAGAGAACCGTTTGAGTGGGAAACACAGGGGTGGGAATAGAGAAGGCTGGAAAGGGGGAGCTTTGAACACTAGCATTAAAACGGTGTTGGCAAGAACTGGACAATTCGCTATTACTGGAAAACGTGTGCGTGAATGAGTGTAACACGCCCAAGTCAGCGAGGGAGCCTGGGACACACCCCACGTGGACACTGCCACATGCTCCCTGTAATTTATCAACCGTGAGCATAAAGCGAATTACAGTTTACGAAACAGGATGTCCGTGTTACACCGTAGCGACGTTCTTTTCCTCTGTGTCACTTGTTTTGAAAGGGAATACAGAAGACGAAATGCGAATAAAATGCAAGAACAGCCGATGAAAGCACACAAACTCGCACACGAATAACCACTTGGGGGCGCAGGACTAGACTGATCCACATATCTTTAGAATTGTGGTA